TCAATATAGTTTTCTATCCTCTATACCCCTGCTGCCTCTCATGGGAAAAGAAGTTAATCTTCCAGCTATTAATAGTCACCAAATTGGTGGTAGCAGCACAGTGGAGAAAAGTAACTGTCTTTACACTGCAGCATTAGTATAAGAATATCTGGTAATGGAAAATTTGACAAATGTCATGTTAAAGGGAGTGGAAAATTATTTTAAGATCTGGATGTCATTTATCTAGTTCTCAGAAAATTAAAATTTCTTAGTAGAATAGAGATCATATTTTTCTTCCTGTTTTAAAATTGTATTTCCTAGAGGGTAATTGTCAACCTAGCCATAACAGTGCCAATTGTCAGCTAACGTAAGAAGAAGAATGTGTGCACTGTTGGTGATTGCTCTAAGTATATTTTCTAACTTGACTGAATGCTTGATTGCTGTACTGAAACACATAACACTTTATTCTATTCAGCTTTCAATATTATCCACTGAAGTCAGCAGTATATAATAAAGCCAATAGAATACCTATTGGGAATTTTACTTCATGACTATAAAATGTACAAAAATATACATTATAGTTTCATCCCTGGACAGTACCTTCTAAGAAAAGACACTGAATGGTAGATGTTGCAAAGTTTTCCAGAATGAAATATGCAGATCTGATTAAAAAAGTAATTCATAATGCAAGATAAGAACATTAGAACTGATCAAATTTATTATGTATGTAGTCAGTTATTTTTATTTTCTGCATTAGTGAAGGTGTTTGAGAGGATTTTGTGTACGTACAGACTTAAGCCTGGTACTTACACTTAAGTTCAAATAGAACACACACACACACACACACACATACATACACACACATACACCTGGATTTTGGGCCAGAGACCAAGAATTCATCTATTAAAAATCTGGATGTTGTTTCTGTTTAAAGATTACTGTTTAAAGTATTTAATCAGAAGAATATTAGGTTCATAATTATATTTTAGTTTTAAGTTCAAAAAGAGATGAGATTGATGGAGGCTGGAAAATGTAGAAATCTAAGTATTGGGACCCAGATGACTGAGAAGGTAATGAATGGCCAAAGAATAATTAGGAATAAAAGGGTTTGAGTGAGTAGAGTAAGAGACTACAGGGCAGAGAATGCCTCGTTTTGGAAACGTATTTATTGGATGAGGGTAAGAAAAGAATTTAGGGTGGTGATGTGCCGTGGAGTCAGTTCTCACTCATAGCAACCCTGTATAGGGTTTCTGAGGTGATACATTTTTATAGGAGTAGAAAGTCTCATGTTTCTCCTGTGGAACGGAATTGCTTGTATTTTCAAACTACTGACCCTGAGGTTAGCAGCCTGATTTATAACCATTACACTACCAGAGCTCCTTAGAATTTAGGGTAACAGACAGATACTGTTTTTTGGTGAGGTTTTTTTGGGTGTTGGTGTTTTTTGTTTGTTTGTTTGTTTTACTGTGATTTGGGTTAAAGTCTAAAGAGCAAATTAGCTTCATTCAACAATTTATACACATTTTGTTTCATGACAATAGTTTCAGTCACCTTAATGTAACAGCATTTTCCCACTTCCTCCCTGACTTCCCCTTTTCTATTTGTTTTTCATTCCTGCCCCTTCTCACCCTTTTTGCCTCTTGAAGTAAAATTCCCAGTTGACATTCTATTTTGAACTTTGGGGCCAATGATACCCTTTTAACCTTGTATGTTTGATTGTTCTAATCTAGCCTTCATAGGTCCTGTAATTCATTTTATAGGTCTGTCTGTTGTTTGGCTATAGGTGCTCTTCAACAGTGGTTTCGTTCCAGGTTTGAAAGATGTCTAAGGGTTATAATGTCAGCTTTCTGCTACTCTCTATCAGATTATTAACTCTGGTCTTCTTTATGATACTAAATTTTGGTCTACATTTTTAGCACACTCTGACTAGGACCTTCTGTTGGGATTCAGATCAGTGCTGTTGATAGTGGTAGCCAGGCACCATCTAGTTCGGGTCTAGTGGAGGCTGTGCTTCACATGGTCTATTTGTTCTTCATACTTATAGCTTCCTTGAGTTTTTCCTTTTTCATGCTTTGCTCCAGAGGAGGATGGACTAGTAGTTGCATCTTAGATGACTGCTCACAATCTCTTAGGACCCCAGTCACTACTTAATTAGCACATTAAGATGAACATTGTCTTTGTGGACTATGTTATGCCAGTTGACACAGATGTCCCCCAAGACTATGGTCCTAAGCCCAATGACTAATTTCTAGGGTTTGGTCGTGGCAAAGAAATGTTCATATGTTTGTCACATGTATATAGACGTATGTATGTGTACAAATATACTCAGCTAAGCCTGTAAGTCCACCATTCACCTGTCAGTTTTTCATCCTGCAATGGTTTGTGTGGTGCTGTGATTCTGGACGTTATGGCTCTGGTATTTTAAATAGCAGCAGTCACACATGGTGGACAAGTTTCAGGTGAGCCTCCGGACTTAAGTCAGAGTACGAAGAAGGACAGGTGGACTAATTCTGCAAGAGTAGCCACCGAAAACCTTATGAATAACAGTGGAACATGGTCTGATCCAGTGCCGGAAGATGAGCCTTAGAATACGACTGGGGCACTGCTTCCTCAGAGTTGACATTAATGATGTGGGTGGAGCAAAGCTTTCCAGACCTTTATTTGCTGATGGGGCACAGTCCAAATTAAGAAGAAACAACTGCAAACATATATTAATAATGACCAAAGACCAGGGGAGTTATGGGGGAACATCAAGAACATCATAACATAAAAAAAGGTAAAGGTCATTAATAAGACAAGAAAAGACCAAACTGAATGTCATAAGAGACTGAAACTTGCTCTTGAACATAGAGAAGGTAAAGATACTAGAAGAAATGATGAAGTAAAAGAGCTGAACAGGAAAATTTCTTTGAGCAACTCAAGAAGACATAGTAAAATATTATGATGAAAGGTGCTAAGACCTGGAGTTAGAAAATTGAAAGAGAAGAACGCACTTATAGCATTTCTCAATCTGAAATAACTAAAGAAAAAAATTCAAGCGTTGTGTTGCAACATTGAAGAACTCTGTGGACAAAATATTGAACGACACAGAATCAAAAGAAGATGGAAGGAATACACTGTCACTGTACCAAAAAGAATTGGTCAGTGTTCAACCATTTCAAAACTTAGCGTATAATCAGTAACTGATGCTACTGAATAAAGAAGTCCAAGCTGCACCGAAAGTCAAACAAGACTCCAGGAATGGCAGAATACAAATTTACGTGTTTCAGCAGACTCAGCACTGGAGGCACTCACTCATCTATGCCAGGAAAGACAACTACCTGGTCAACTGATTGATTTATTGTTGTTGTTAGGTGCCATAGAGTTGGTACCAACTCATAGCGAACTTATGCACAGCAGAACGAAACACTGCCCGATCCTGGGCCAACCTCATCCGTATTTGTGCCCATTTTAAAAAAAGGTGACCCAATGGAATGTGGAAATCATCAAATAATATCATTAATATTACATATAAGTAAAATTTTACTGAAGATAACTTAAAAATGTTTGCAGCAGTACATCAACAGGCAGCTTCCAGAAATTCTAGTGGGATTCAGAAGAGGATGAGGAACTAGGGATCCCATTGTTGATATTAATCTTGACTGAAAGCTGAGAATACCAGAAAGATGTTTATTTGTGCTTTCTTGACTATGCAAGGGCGTTAGACTGTGGATCATAACAAGCTATGGATAATGTTGGGAAGAATGGGAATTCCAGAACACCTAATGGTGCTCATGAGGAACCTCATGGCAGTTGTTAGAACTGAGCAAAGGGATACTGAATGGTTTAAAATCCAGAAAGGTGGGTGTTGGGGTTGCATCCTTTCACTGTATTTAATCTGTATGCTGAGAAATATGAAGAAGAACGTAGCATCAGGATTGGAGGAAGACTCATTAGCAACCTACAAACAACAATTGTGAGACTGGTGTACGACTGGGCAGTATATGGTTCTGTTGTGTGTACAGTCAATTTGAGTCAGAATTCCAAGGCACCTAACAACAATGCAAATGTCTATGTAATTGTATATGTAGTCCCATTCCCTTTCTCACACCTGTTCTGCTCATGTGTACACATAAACCCACTACAGATTATTACTGTTTATTCTGATTATGTGTGTTATAGTATTTACGTTTGTTGCCTTTAAGTATTGTGTATCTCCTAGTGTCTTCCTTTGCCTTGGTCATGTTGTGCTGACTTTTCCCTTATCGTATATTGTCTTTCCCTTCACTCAATATATATTCACTGGACTGTGAACCACAAGGTCAGCAGTTCAAATCCACCAGCTAAATTACACGTACACTCTATTGGCTACAAACATATGTCACTGTAGGATAAGCACTGGACTGCTGACCACAAGGTCAGGGGTTCAAACCCCCAGCCGCTCCTCAGAAACTATACAGGGTTGCTGTGAGTCAGAAACAACTCAGTGTCACTTAACAGCAAAGGTGATATTTTACAGAGTAAATTATATGAAAGCTAAGAACTTATTTATGAATTTTGTTGGAATTGGTTGGAAATTTATTTTCATGATTACCTAATGTCTCACGAAGACTATATCTATAAATATTGATATTTGTAAGTTATTGCTTTCCATTATAGAATCACTTTATAATATATTTTACTAACATTACTAACTACTTAATGTTACTTAGTGGAATTCTGGCGTGGCGCTGTAAGATAACACACTGGACCACAAGGTCGGTTTGAGCTGCGAGAGTGGCGCTTCAGACTCACCAGCTGTTCCTTGCAAACCCTGTACAGGCTTGCTATGAGTTGGAATCGACTTGATGCTGCTTAAGTAATGTTGTTGTTAATAGTTAAGTAACATTACTTACTAGTCATAAATTAGTTTTTTATTTTCCCTCAAGTTTTTATCAATACAGTGCATTTCACTATTGGTGGTTTGTTTTGTTTTAGTTGATAGGGTTATTAGAAAACTGTTGGGGCAACATTATTAATCTTCTTTTTTTTTAATTGACCAGGCACATCTTCAAATGAATTTGCTCCACTTACAGTTCCTCCACATAAAAGAACTCGGAGAAAACTAATGCCTTCTCCCTTGGAAGCAAAACTTAAGGAAAAGTCTGTACTGTCTGAAAGTGTTCAGCTCAATGATTCCTTCAGCAAAGAACTTCATCCTATTGTATATACTCCAGAAGACTGTAGAAAAACTTTTCTAACTCAGTCTACTGGGACCTTTATGAAACCATCATCACATTCTATGAGTTTTCAGGCCATCAGCTCAAATATAAACAGCAGTAACTCTCAGAAGATGTTATGTTCTCCTTTTAGTAGGAGAACAGAATGTGGAGAGGAAAATTTGGACTCTACATTTATTATTTGCAAAGATACCAAGAGTTGGAAGAGTGAATTGCCTGTAAAAGAATCACTGCCAAATGACAATAACATTTTGCAAAGGTACAAGAAAAGGATGTTTCTCAACTTTTTCTTCTTTTGCCCTGTTTTTTTTTTTGACATGACCTTTAAATGATTATCTTTTTTTTCCTTCTTTAGATATATCTGAGGTTTCTTTTGTAAATCAAGTATTTTTTTTTTTTTAATTCCATTTTCCACAAGCGTTCTGAAGCCCCCTTTGCATCTTAATTTGTTCTCAGTACCCAAAGTTAGATAACACAGGCCATCATCAGAGGGTTATGGTGTCTGTTATTATTACTTAATATCTTCATTGAAGACAATTCCGCAGGGTCTAATGATGTTTGACAAACCTTACCTTACTCTAAAATAGTCATACGCCTAAGGTAAGGTTGACTCCATGTTATCCAGGCAAACATACTCTTTTTACTTCATTTGTATAATCACACCTTATCAACAAATTGGAAGTAAACTTTCTTCACAATTGTACGTTGCTGGGAATACAGAAATCCTTGATAGCAACTCTACCTATTGCTAAAAAAGAAAAGAAAATCCTGGAATAAGAGATATAAGTGCTCTAGTATGGAGAAATATTTTTTCTTTATTACTACCAAATGGATTTCCTATTATACAAGTATCTACCTCCTTTCTGCGCATAGTACAAATCAAAATTACTCTGTATTTTCTCCATTTACTACACAGGTTTGACTCTTCTACATTGTCGACTAGACATCCCATGGCTGTACCAAGCATAGTGCCGTCCTACATGGCAATGACTGCTGCTGCCAAGAGGAAACGGAAATTAGCCAGGTATGGTTCAACATAAACTGTATTTACACAAGATCATATTTTAGACTTTGCTTCCTTGAGCTTTATAAAAATAGTCTTGTAATTAGACTATCAATTCATATCTAAGCATACATATGGTAAACTGGTCTGAATGAAACACTGGATTTATATAATCAACAGGAGTTACTATTTTATAAAGTCCAAGTATTTCACTTGATATTTACATAAAGTATTTCATGTTTTAGATTATTAAAAATAAGTTGAAAAGTCTTCTCGCCTTTAAAAATGTCACTTAGTTATTAGCTTTTCTTATGGTAACACTGTTTAATCATTTGGTTATCTTTCCTTTTAGACATTACTGAGTTTTCTCAGTCCTAGAATTATATTATTTTAATTAATTTTGACATATGGCTAAAATGTAGTAAATGAGGGGTCTTCCTTTTCCAGCTATAATAATGGTAGTATATATCAATCACACCAAGCCTTCCTATTAGAACCATTGAAAAGGCTAATTAAATACAACTAATAACTGCTTGAAGGCACTGGAGAAAACCAAGACAGTGACGACTTGAGAGGCCAAGATTCCAGAGAAAAGGAAAACACACTGTAGAGCTGAACTGTCTCTGACTCTTTCCATTTGAGCATTTTCTAGTCCGTGGCAAAAGGCAGAGCGAACAAGCAGAAATTAAAAGCCTAGAGTTAGCAACAGTCTCACCAATTTGGGAAACAAAAACATTCTGTGCAACTTTTTCCCTCAAGGTATTTGCCATGTTTTAAACTTTGTGCAATAAAAGCCAAGAAACCAAACTGAATGTAGCTGCTCTGAGGCTAAAGAACTAAGCAGTTTTGACATCCTCATAGGACTGAAACACAGAAAGTTAGAGTTCAGGAACCACAGTGGAGGAAAGAGAGGCCCTTTTACCCGAGAGTCCTGAAGGGCTATGTTATAATGTTCTCCAGAACCAAGCCTCTACAGTTTATCTGATAAACTGTTTAGCACTTAATCAAAATTTAATACGCCAAAACACAAAACTTAGCAGCTGAAATTCAAAAGAAAACAAACAATTTAGAGAACCATTGATCCCCAAGTTACACGTATATTGCAGTAATTAGATATGACCATAAAAAACAAATTCAGTAAACATAAATTCAGATAAGATAAATTCAGCAATGGACTGAATATTCAAATCAATTTTAAAAATCAGTCTAGAAATAAAAAAAGGTTAGAATGTACTAAAATTTAAAACTCAATAAATTCAGATTAGACACAGCAGAAGAGCGTATTAGTGAACTGGAAGCTACACTAATTTAAAATAGCCAAATTGATGCACAGAAGAACACATGATGGGAAGTACAGAAAAAAGTGGAAAAAATTTAAGTAAGATTTGATTAAAAAGTTCTAGTATGTTTGCATTTGAAATCCTAGAAGCAGACAAAGAATGAGGGAAAAGAGATGCTGACTGATAATTTTCCAAAATTGAGAAAAAACATCAAGTTATAGATTGAAAAAACCCACAAGCAGGATTAATACAAAGGAAATCGTGCCAGGGAGTTAATGTTTTAGGTGCCGTCGAGTTAGTTCAGACTCATGTCAACCTGATGCAAACAGAAAAAAATACTGCCCGATCCTCTGCCATCCTCATAATTGTTAAAGGTTGAGCACATTGTTGCAGCCATTGTGTCAGCCCATCTCATTGAAGATCTTCCTCTTTCTCGATGACCCTCCACCTTATAAAGTATGATATCTTTCTCCAATAACTGATCCCTCCTGGCAACATATCCAAAGACTGGCAGATGAAATCTCACCATGCTCACTTCTAAGGAGCATTTTGACTATCCTTCTTCCAACACATATTTTTGTTTGGTTTTCTGGCAGTCCATGGTACTTTTTAATATTCTCCTCCAACGCCATAACTCAAATGCGGCAATTCTTCTACAGTCTTCCTTATTCATTGTCTAAATTTCACATGCATATGAGGTGATTGAAAATACCATGACATGGGTCAGGCGTACTTCAGTTCTCAAGCTGACATCTTTGCTCTTTAACACTTTCAAGAGGTCTTTTGCTAATGCAATAAATACTTCATTTGATTTCTTGACTGCTGCTTCTATGAGTGTTGATTGTGGATCGAAGCAAAATGAAGTTTTTGATACTTCCATGTTTTCTGTTTTTATTGTGATGTTATTTATTGGTGTAGTGGTGAAGATTTTTGTTTTCTTGCACTGAGCTGCAATCCATACCGAAGGCTGAGTGAGGTCTTTGATCTTCAACAGTAAGTTTTTCAAGTCCTCTTGCTTCCAGCAAGCAAGGTTGTGTTGTTAATGAGTCTTCCTCTCAAATCCTGATGCCACATTCTTCTCAATTATTTGCTCAGCATACAGATTAGATAAGTATAGTGAAAGGGTGCAAACCTGGGACACATCTTCCAAATTTAAACCATTCTATATTCCCTTGTTCTGTTTGCATGACTGTATCTTGATTCATTATGAACACAATCAGGTGTTTTTGATTTTCCGTTCTTTGCAATGCTATCGATAGTTTTTTATGATTCACACTGTCTAATGTCTTTGCATAGTTAATAAAACACAAACATATTTTGGTATTCTCGACTTTTAGCCACAGTCCATCTGGCATCATCAGTGATGTGTCTGGTTACATGACCTTTTCTGTATCCAGCTTGGATTTCTGCCAGCTCCCGGTTGATGTACTGCTGCAATTGTTTTTGAATTATCATCAGCAAAATTTTACATACATATGGTAGCGTAGTGGCTACGAATCAGGCTGCTAATCTCATGGTCAGCAGTTCGAAACTATCAGCTGTTCTGCAGGAGAAAGATGATGCTTTCTGATCCCGTAAAGAATTACAGCCTGAGAAACCCCGTACAGGGTTGCTGTGAGTCAAAACTGACTCCATGGCACATAACAACAACAAAATGATATTAATGATGTTGCTCAATGATTTCCACATTCAATTGTGTCACCTTTCTATGGAATCGGGAACAAATAACGTTCTCTTCTCGTAGATTGGCCAGATAGCAGCTGTCTTTCAAATATGTTAGCATAGATGAGTGAGCACCTCCAGCGCTTCATCAATTTGTTAAAACATTTCCATTTTTATTCCATCAATTCCTGAAGCCTTGCTTTTTGTCAATGTAGTTTGGACTTCTTTCAATATTATTGGTTCTTGATCATATTGCTACCACTTGAAATGATTGAGCATCAGCTAATGCTTTTTGATATGTTGACTCTGTGATTCCTTCCATCTTCTTATGCTTCCTACATCATTCAGTAGTTCACCTGTAGAATCCTTCAAAATTGCAACTCCAGGATTGAATTTTATCTTCTTTCAGCTTAAAATATGCTGAGTGTGTTCTCTTTTGGTTGTATAATTGTAGTTCTTTGCACATTTCATCATAATGCTTGGCTTTGTCTTGTTAATGACTCTTTGATTTCTTCATGTGAAATGCTCTAAATGTCATCATCTGGTTTTCAGTCATTAGCATCTAATACATTATATCTATTCTTGAGATGGTCTGTAAATTCAAGGCATATTTGGGCTCCTGTTGACTTAAATTTTTTCAGCTTCAGTCTGAACTTGCATATGAGCATTTGCTAGTCTGTTTCACAATAGGCCCCTGGTGTTATTTTTGACTGATGATGCTGAGTTTTTCCATCATCTCTTCCCAGAAGTGTCATCTGTTTGATTCCCATGTATTCCATCTGGTGAGGTTCATACGTATAGTTGTCGTGTATGTTGTTGAAAAAAGGTCTTTGCAATGAATAAGTCGCTGGTCTTGCATAATTCTATCATGTGATCTGCAGCATCATTTCTATTATCAGTGCCATATTTTCAAACTGCTGATTCTTCCTCTTTCTTTCCAATTTTTACATTCCAGTCACCAGTAACTATCATTGCATCTTGGTTGCATGTTTGATCTGTTTCAACCTGAAGAAGTTGTTGGAGTGCTTCATTTACTGGCTTTAGTAGTTCATTAGTAAATTTGAATAGTATTAGTATGAACGGGTCTTCCTTATAACCATAGATATTATCTTATCATAGATAGTATTGTACTTTAAAATATATCTTAAAATATTCTTTCTGACAATTGAAGCTGTGCCATTCCTCGTTTTCATTCCAGGCTCAGTAAACTATATGATTGTCTGCTTCACAGTGGCCAATACCAGTCCATTTCAGCTCAGTAACGTCTGGAGTCCTGGTGTGGCACTGCAGAATAATGCACTGGACCATAAGGGCCATGGTTCAAAGCAACCAGCTACTCCTTGGAAACTAAACAGGGTCACTTTGAGTCAGTAATGTCTGTTGTTGTTGTTGTTAAGTGCCATCGAGTCGGGTCCGACCCATAGCGACCCTGTACAGGGTTTCCGAGGGTGTAAATCTTTACGGGAGTAGAAAGCCTCATCTTTCTCCCGCGGAGCGGCTGGTAGTTTCGAACCGCTGACCTTAAGGTTCGCAGCCCGATTCGTAACCACTACGCTACCAGAGTAATGTCTAGGATATCGATTTTTAGACATTCCATTTCATTTTTAACAACTTAGAATTTTCCTAAATTCATATTTCATACATCTCACATTGCGATTATTAATGGATGTTTGCAGCTGTTTCTTCTCATTTTGAGCTGTACCCCTCAGCAAATGAAGGCCCAGATTTGCTCCATTCATGTCACATTAAGGTCAACTCTGCTTTGAGGAGGCAGCTTTTCCCTAATCGTATTTGAGTGTCTTTCAACATGAGGGGCTTATCTTCTTGCACTATATCAGACAATGTCCCACTGCTATGCATAAGATTTTCAGTGGCTAAACATTCAGCAGTGGCCCACCTCTTTTCTTTTCCTTCCTAGTCTGTCTTGGTGTAAAAGCACCACTGAAACCTATCCACTAAGGGTGACCCTGCTGGTCACCATCACAACAATATGCAAGCCGCCACAGTATGTAAGTTAAACTGACAGATCAGCATACCAGGTACATCCTAGTAAAATACTATAAACCAAAACCTAGAAGAAAATTTTAAAGATAACCAAAATATATCCCTTTATAGACTACAACATTGGCAAGATACACTCATATGTAAAATAGAATCCTCCCTCCCCTCCCCCACCAGTATTTATTTGTTTATTGGTCAAGTCTAGGGAAGTTATAAAAACATCTTTTTAAAATTCTTCTATTCTAATATGAACCTGTAATCATTTGGTATCATTTGTACTTGTTAGATTTCTTTGAGTCATTTTCAACTTGTAACGACACAACAGAATGAAACACGGCCCTGTCCTTAAACAATCTCACAATTGTTATGTGTGAGCCCATTGTTGCTGACACTGTGTCAGTCCATTTTTAGTTGGTCTTTCCCTTTTTCACTGACCCTCCATTCTACCAAGCATTATGTCCTTCTCCAGGGACAAGTCCCTCCTGACATATCCAAAGTACAAGAGGCATCGTCTCACCTTCCTCAGTGCTAAGAAACATTCTGGCTATACTTCTTCCAAGACACATTTGTTTGTTCTTTTGGCAGGCAATATTCATCTCCTACACCATAATTAAAATGTGTTGATTCTTCTTTGGTTTTTCTTACTCATTTTTCAACTTTAGCATGCATTGGAGATGATTGAAAATACTATGGCTTTGGTCATGTGCACCTTAGTCCTCAAACTGGTATCTTTGTTTAAAACTTTAAAGAGGTCTTTTTTTTTTAGCAGATTGGCAACTTAAGGGATTGAGTTTTCCTAGATGCCTATAACTATCCATGACATTTACAACTTTTGTTTATCTAAAACACAAATTTGAATTGCTCAAATGGGCTCATATATGGGAGTTAGTAATTTAATGAGTGTATCTTGCAAATTCTACTCCATCTATTTCTTCAATGCTAATTTTCATTGTGCTAGTCTTCCTATGAGTTAATGTTGGTAAGGTTTCTAGTCCTGCACTAGTAGCAAACACTGTTTTGCAATGTGAAAACATTGCACAAGTTTGATAGCTAAGATTACTTGCAGAATGTAAGCTTTGTCATTGTCAAAATCAAATTATATTTTTAAAGAAATTACCAGGTATATAGATTGTTATCCTATTTGAAGTTACTTTAGATAAGTTAATGGTCTTCTAATATTGTGGAATAATATTAAAGGTCATGTGAGAAATGTAACTTGGTTTCTCCTACTCTATTAATTGCTCTATTACACTCTCTCTGATACCAGTAATTAGATCCTGCCATTAACTAAGGTTAAAAGAGATTAATGCTAGAAATGTACATAATTACTTTTTTGTTAATCTTCCTTTTCTCTAATTAAATCTACATGAACTTGAGAGTAATAAATGTTGTTATTTTCCACTTACCAGTTTCATATACCTATTAAGGTATATATATATTACATTATGGTTTAAAAAAATAAATACTGTAAAGGTCTATGTATACCTTTGTTTGATTTCCTCTGCACTGGATGTTCCAAAAACCTACCAAACTGAACTTCTACTTAGTATTTAAGTTGAAAATGCTAGGTTTTTTTTTTGTTTTTTTTTTTATCATACCAACATTTTAATATCACTAAGCAGTCATTTTTACTAAGTGAATCAATCTATGAACTATACAACCATAATAAATACATATGTAAGTTTTTACTCATAAATTATATTAGTCAAGGTTTTGGGGTTGTATTTGGTTTTGCATATGTGCATACTTATTTGGTTGCTTGATTGGATTTTGTTATTTTGGGGCTTTATTTATTTATTTTGCTACACTCTGTTTTAGCAGCACAAAATGGTCTACTTGCCATATATATTTTTTGAAAGATGTCTAATGATGCCTTCTATAAATCAATTCAGTAAAAAAAAAATATGAGATACATGTAATAGCAGAAACATTCTACCTATCAGAGAAAACAAAGTTAATTCATAACTTACACTAATGGCTATAGAAATATATTTGTAGCACATTTGGAAGAGCCTTCAGATTTCTTATCAGTTTAGTCTTTGAAGGTAATTTGAATTTTCACTCATCAATTTTAGATCTTTTTATGATCCAACTTTAGCAAAAGTTAAACATTTTATTGTGGTCTATTTGATCTATTTTGGAATGCTGGTGTGGCACTGTAGGATAAGTTCTGGACTGCTAAACCCTGAGATTGGTAGTTCATAGTTCAGACCCACCAGCTGTTCCTCGGAAACCCTATGTATACACAGTTGCTGTAATTCTACACTTAGCAGCACTTAACATCTGAAGGCATTTAACAAGGACACAAGATTTCATCTAAATCTTAGAAACAGTTTGGGTATATTCTACTTTGATGTAAATATATGACTTATTTGATTAAACTTATATTTCATTCCAATAAATATGAACTATATTAACTTTGAGGTCCTGGTATGGTGCTATAGGATAAACACTGAACTGCTAACTGCAAGGTCAACAGTTCATACCCACCAGCCACACCTCAGCTACCCTTACAGGGACCAATTCAAAGAGGTACTGAACAACTACATGTTAGCTTTATTTTCAAGTAAAAACATGCTGTGAGTAAAAATTAAAATCCTGGAACTAAACAAAATGAAGATTCATGTCAGAAAATAATTAAAACCTTTTTTTTTTTTTTAATTATAAAGGAAAACACTAAAACAACTCAGTGGTATTAATTTTTATATTTTTCTCACCACTTGGTCACTAAATAGCCAAGAAAATAGTGAACTTAATTCATTTAGCACCATTTAGGAATGAAGAAAGGAGCTCTGGTAGTATAGTGGTTATGAATCAGACTGCTAATCTCAAGGTCAGCAGTTTGAAACTACCAGTCATTCTTCAAGAGAAAGATGAGGCTGTCTGCTCCCATAAAGATTTACAGCCTTGGAAACTCTATACAGGGTCATTATGAGTCAGAACCAACTCCATGGCACATAACTACCACAACCACCAGAATGAAGAATTTCTACAACTGAATATGTTTACTTCTATAGTGGTTATGAATCGGGCTGGGAGCCCTAAAGTCAGCAGTTCGAAACTACCAGCTGTTCCACGGAAGAAAGATGAGGCTTTCTGCTCCCGTAAAGATTTACAGCCTCAGAAACCCTGTACAGGGTCACTGTGAGTTGGTTCTGACTCCATGGCACATAACCACCACCACCACCATAAATAACACTAGTACCTTATTTTTAACCATCTACGATAGATGTGGTTTGCATGCTTGAGCATAGTAGGTACAACTGCCTTTAAGAAAACTATAGTTGTTTCTCTTTAGTCAGAAATTCCTCAATAATAAAATTAACTTATTTGAATAAAGATAGGGTGGTGTTATCCTCCATGCTAGCTTCAACCCTTTAGCGTTAGAAAGGATTTCTGTTTTTCAGGACCCAAATCATACTCTTCGCATCCACGATGTTTTCCATTTTTTTCTCTTCCCCTAAGCTCAAGAATCTGTAACTCCTTGTAGATTGGAAACCTGTGGCTCTACTTTTATTCTGTGTTGTATTATTTTCTATATGTATTTCCCCCCATCTTCACCCTGTGTCTATTAGATAAGGTTTCAGGACGTAGGCTGTTTGTTCTTACTCATTTGTTTATTGGATAGCTTGTTGTTGCTAAGTGCCTTGCAGTCACTTCTGACTCATAATGATCCTGTATAGGGTTTCCAAGAAGCAACTGGTGGGTTTCAAATCACTGGCCTTATGATTAGCAGTCCAGTGCTTATCCTATACTGCCACACCAAGAGTCCATATATCCTATAGCAGGAAGCCATAACACATGCTCAGTAACATGTCAACTCTGAGTTAGAAATCTGACCTATTAACAATGTGTGATTAATCCAAAATTCTGAAGATAGGATAAATGAAAATGAAATTCTTTTCCATTTCTACAATTGCAGTGACCACAGAGAGACTTTCTGTGTGCTACCATGCTCTGAATTAAGAGCATAGGTTTCAAAATAACCCCACTTGTTAATTTCCCCTAGATTAGGATAGTTGTTGTAGATTTGTAACTGGTATTGGTGTGTTCATCTACTGTGGTTGTGCTACTTATCTCGAATAGTAGTGCATACTGTATTCCAGCAACACAGTCTACTGCAGAATTGTTACTGTCAACTATAATCAGAATATCCAAGTTGAATTAATTTTAAAATCACACACAGCTAAATTTCTCTGTGGGTTAAAGTACAGTTACTTCTATGAGATTTCACAACTTAACACGTTAGTATTGTATTTCATTAATCTTTATTGTAAATTCTAAGTTTTGAGTTTTTTTTTTTAATGTTCTACTAAAATATTTTTTCCCTTCAAGTTCTGGATCAAATACTTCATTAACTGCTTCAGCAAACTCTGGACTTGCCAAACGTGTTCGACAAGATAGTTCAAGTGATAAGCATGTACAAGAAAGCAGATCTACAGTGGGTATGTGGAAACATTTCATTTGATATTTAAAGTGTGTTTACCTTAGCACTATGTCTTTTTCAAAACCATCTCCTTTACTATCATCATCATCTTCATTGCATAGTACTACAGTGAAGTACTGCATAGTACTACAGGTACTTCTACATGTTAAGGAATTTAAGCCACAAAATGTAAATCACTTACCCAAATTCACACAATATTTCAGGTTGAGCCAGAACTCAGAGCTAGATCTCCCACCTCCACATTCTTACACCCTCTTTATCATATTATACTGCCTTATATTGTAATAGAAGTGGTTAATAATTTAGCTAATAATTGAAATAAGTAGAAAAATGTATTATTTAAAAGGTTAGTGATTAAGTGTTTCATCAGTAAACTTTATTTGCTTGAAATTTTTCTTTTAGACTATAATTTTTAATACTTTAGACTCTGACTCATTTGTGCAGTCACTGAGAGGCTTCAGTATCTGTAACTAGATACAAACATATTGTAACTCTCACTGGAAAGATGAAAGAAACGCTGATGAAGGGTAGCTACATCATCTCAATCACATACAAGGGTAACATAAATGAGTCCTTTGTGACAAAACCGTATCGTCAATGAAAACTAGAGAGTAATACGTGCCTATAACATGAACAATTATGTGAAAACTATTCATTTTATTTCTTTCTATGATTTTTCATTGTCATAGTATAACACATTTCAGTAACTTTGCCAAACTAAATAAATGCTTACTTCCTGTAGTGGCGCTGGGAGTTGTTTATTTTAGTTGTAATAAGTAAAAGTAATTTAGATTATTTCGTTTAACCTGACATATTTAAAACTGCCTAGTAATGTTTATCTAGTTACTGTAGGTATGAACTGTCCCATTAGTCTTCTGAAAAGTTCTGAAGTTACCATTCTGTAAGAAAATAAGAAATATATGAAAACTTTCAAATCATGAGATCTGGCTATTTAAATATGCCTATTTTCTAAGGAGAGCATAAAATACTGGCAATCCTTGGTTTATAAACATATGAGTTATGGACAGTTCCTATTGTTGTTAAGTGCCTTTAAGTCAGCTTCACTCATAGTGGTCCTGTATAGGGTTTGAGGAGCAGCTGGTAGATTTGAACCATTGGCCTTCTGGTTTGCAATCCATTGCTTATCTTACAGTGCTATACTAGCACACCAACTTGTCTTGACTACAGAGTTGCAAGCCTCTTCTGACATGGGCATCAAAGTGCAACAGGAACAAGGTAGACTTGTCACAGTTTGAATGATTTGCCACAGTAATCAGCATGGGAATATTAGAAATTGAAGCCCTGGAATGGCATGCTAAAAAGAGGCAGGCCTGATGAGCCTGATGTGTGGAATCGATTACTGACAGGACTGAAGAAGCACATTCAAATGAGCACTCTTAACCGCCATCTTTGAACCTCTACTTTAATAATTTGTAAATCTACCCTCATTTTAAAATGACTGAACTAACCCTTATTATCAATAAATTTTTCGTTATAATTACCTTCACTTAGTGCACATGTTGTTGTTAAGTGCCGTTGAGTCGATTCCGACTCATAGCGACCCTGTACAGGGTTTCTGAGGCTGTAAATCTTTACGGGAGCAGAAAGCCTCATCTTTCTCCCACTGAACAGCTGGTAGTTTCAAACTACTGACCTTGTGGTTTACAGCCCGATTCGTAACCACTACGCTACCAGAGCTTTTAAATCATTGAGAAGGCTTCTGCGTTGTTTCTTGCACTGGTGTAGTGCTATCCAGTCAATTCTGACTCATCGTGACCTTGTATAGCTCTTCTAAGACTATAAGTCTTTAAGGGAGCTGAAAGCCTCATCTCTTTCTCAAAGAAAGGCTGGTGGGCTCAAACTGCCCCCTTTTGGTTAGAAATCCAGTGCTTATCCTAGAGAGCCACAATGCTCCTTTGTTTGTACTAAAGTAAGCTAAAAAAGAAGTTTGCACCTGTTCTGACTGACCTACAAATTCTGAAAGACACAGGTAAGAACGAATCTCGTGCATAACCCATGAACTGATTGTATATCAAACCTCTCATGGATAAAGAGAGGTGAGTTGATGCAGTAGGATCAGCACTAGACTGTGAACCACAAGATGGGCAGTTCAAATCCATCATCTGCTCCTCAGAAACCCTATTCAGGGTCACTATGAGTCAGAACTGACTAGATGGCACTTAAAAACAACAACGTGGAGGGAAAAAAATGGTTTAGGTGATATTAAACCAAAGTGTTGGGCTCCTGGTATGGTGCTGTAGGATAAGCAGTGAACAGCTAACTACAGGTCAGTGGTTCAAACCCACTAGCCTCTTCTCTGAAACCCTCTGCAGACTTGCTGTGAGTCAGACCAATTCTACATTACTTAACAACAGCAGCAACAACAAACCAAAATGTATGCTAATGAGTAAAGAAGAATTAACACTAGATTTAAAGATCATGTGTTATTGAGGATAATGGAGTGCTTAGAAAGAGGGCTAAGTTTATAAGGGATAATATTTTATGTTCAATAGTATCCCCAGATGAAAATGCCTTAATACACATTCAGAATTACTTAAAAAGTGAGAAAATTGGAACTTCCATCTTTAGAATATATTCAACTGAGTTCTCTATAGGACAGTATACATATAAAACAAAGGCACCCTCAGCTGAAAAGAAGGCAATTCCTGTTGACTGAGCAGTTAGAAAAACAAGGAACCATGTCAAAAGAATAGTGTGTCCCTAAAATAAAACCCGATGTGACTGAGAAAATGGATAAGAGGTTAGACTAATCCAGAAGGAAGTTGACGTCCCCATGTTAGGATATGTTGTTGAGTAACGAATCATTGTGAAGACTGATAAGAATCAGAAGAATGGGGTCAGGTAGAACACATTTGAAAGGTTGTTGTTGTTAGGTGCCATCAAGCGGGTACCGACTCATAGCAACCAAGAGGCAGTTGTTCGAACGGAACATCTCTCAAATATGAGAGATGAAGTTTGGCCCTCCTGGCCTCCGAGGAGCACTCTGGCTGCACTTCTTCCAACACAGATCTGTTGGTTCTTTTGGCAACCCATGGCACTTTCAATATTCTCCTCCAGCACCATAACTCAAAAGCATCAATTCTTCTAAGGTCTTTCTTATTCACTGTCCAGCTTTCACATGCATATAAGGTTATTGAAAATACCATGGCTTGGGCCAGGCACACCTTAGTCCTCAAGCTGACATCCTTGCTCTTCAACACTTTAAAAAGCTTTTGTACAGCAGATTTGCCTAATGCAATACGTCGTCAGATTTCTTGACTGCTGCTTCCATGAGTTGAAAGTTGATCCAAGAAGAATGAAGTCTTTGACAACTTCAGTCTTTTCTCTCTTGATAAGAATGTTGTTTATTGGTCCAGTGGTGAGGATTTTTGTTTTCTTTACATTGAGATGTAATTCATACTGAAGGCTGTGCTCTTTGATCTTCATCAGTAAATAATTATAAGTCCTCTTCACTTTCAGCAAGCAAGGTTGTATCATCTGCATATCACAGGTTGCTAATGAGTCTTCCTTCAATCCTTTTCTTCATATAACCCAGTTTCTTGGATTATTTGCTCAGCATACAGGGTGAGTGAGTATGGTGAAAGAATACAACCTTTTCGCACACCTTTCTTAATTTTAAAACATTCAGTGTTCCCATGTTCTGTTCGAACAACTGCCTGTTGGTCCAGGTACAGATTCCTCGTGAGCACAATTAAATGTTCCGGAATACCATACTTCACAATGTTCCATAGCTTGTCATGAACTACACAATCGAAAGCCTTTGCATAGTCAATAAAGCACAAGTAAACATCCTTCTGATATTCTCTGCTTTCAGCCAAAATCCATCATACATCAGCAATGATATCCCTCGTTTCACGGTCTCTTCTGAATCTGGCTTGAACCTCTGGAAGGTCTCTGTCAATGTATGCTTGCAGCCATTTTTGTATTACCTTTAGTAAAACTTTATTCCCATGGCATATCAAAGAGATTGTCCAATGATTTTGCATTCGATTGGGTCACCTCTTTGGAATGGGCACAAATACTGATCGCTTCCAATCAGTTGGCCAGATAGTTGTCTTCCACATTTCTTGGCAGAGAGATGATTGAGTGCCTCCTGTGTTGCTTCACTTTTGAATGATTTCTATTTTTATTCCATCATTTCCTAGTGCCTTGTTCTTTGCTCTCTACATCATTCAATAATTTGAAAGGTAGCTATGCAAAATAAAAATAAAAAAAAAACTACAGGATGAGGATCATCACTTGAGGAAGCAATATATTTAAGCAGTTGAGTTTCTTTAAAAATATGAAAGCTTGAAAGCCCTGGGAAAATGATCCAATGAATGAGGAAAAAAAAAAAAACTGATAAAGAAAAACAATGCCTGTGGAAATGCTACTTCATTAGTTCAGAAGAAATGAAAATAAATGCAGTAGTTTATTTAGAGACTTCATCTGATGTGTGTGGGGGTTTATGGGTACTGAAATTTTAGTTTGCATTTTGAAAACAATGAATTTGGGAAAATACTTTAAGTCAAAGATGTTAATATTTCTTTGTTGTTTAAAAATTCATGTTAATTAACAACTATGAATTTCAAGAATAAGTTTTCCTCTAAAATTTTTCAAATTTGTATATGTTGAATGAATACCAAAAGTTCTGTTTGAATGATACTTTTATAATATTTATGTATTCCTTTGTTTTTTCTTTAGAATACAGAAGAAGCAACCATAAAACAAATTCAAGCTCAGTTAGAAAATTTGGAAGACATACTTTAAAAGGAAATCTGATATAAGTTACTTCAAAATGAAATAAAATGAAATTAATCAAGTCTAATTTTAAAAGTGTTTATTTTCAGTGCCCTTTTAGAATTGTAAAATATTAGAAAGAAAGACTACCTTAAAGCTAGGTTTACCCAAATACCTTCAGCAAACAAAAAATGAATCTCTTCTACATTCTGAGCAAATATAAATTTTCTGTAGACAAAGTTATGTTTTGAGTTTCTAAAATGCCTGTTATTTTTTAATCCTTAATAAATCAGCATTGTGGCAGTGTAGTTTTTCTGTTTCAACAAGTTGATAGGACATTTTAGAAAACATTAGTTAAATTATGATTGGGGCTTTTTGTTTTTTTGTTTTCCATGAAAATTTTAAAGTGATATAATTATGGCCCAGTATGTATTTAGTTTTATATTATGTGTCTCTATGTACATTATTTTATCGTAAAACTGACTTTACTTTCCAAAAATACTTTGATGTACAAATATATGTGCCAATAAAGTTACTGTGAATATCACTTAAATGGTGGTGGTGGTGGTTATGTGCCATGGAGTTGATTCTGACACATAGCGACCCTATGTAGGGCTTCCAAGGCTATAAATCTTTATTGGAGCAGAAAGCCTAACTACATTACAAATAAAATAACATTGTTTCTTGCTGTGTGATATATTAAAGGTTTAGATCGTAAATTATTTGGTTTTCCTATCTCTTTTCTAACCCACTAAGGAGCCCTGGTGGCTAGTTAAGCACGTGATATGTTAACTAAAAGGTCAGGAGTTCAATTCTATCAGTCGCTTTGTGTGAAAAAGATGTGGCAGTCTGTTCCTATTACAAATCACAGCATAGAAAACTCCATAGAGCGCTTCTACTTTGTTCTGTAGGTTTGGAATTGAGTTTATAGCAACCGGTACTACCTGTTACGTGATCTGAACTATAATTTTATATAAAATATTCATTTTGTAGATTAGTATTTCAAATTACACCAAAAAACATGGCACTAGAACTAAGTCTGAAAATAATCCACTGATTTCTTACTGATAATGAGAAAAGAAAATGTTTTGTGTCATTCTTACTCAAGTAGGAAATATAGAGAGCTACAACTTAATTATATAACCTTATTTACCTCTTTATTTGGCCTGTTTATTTGCTAAACACTACAAATTCTTGGTTAAATGCACTTTAATTTTATGAAGCATAGGAACCTTAAACCAAAGCAAACACAATAGAGGAACCAATTAAAATAGTTTGAACCCTTTAGTCATGTTTTCTGATTTAAAATCTTGTTAGAAGACTGTGAGATGGAATAATGATGTTGATGTCCCTTCCAGCTCTGAAACTGGTGATTCCTTATTCATAGGAGTTTACAAAGATCTATCAGAGTGAGTCATTATAAAACTTTTTGAATCTTGTTTTCCTGGTGTGGCACTGTGGGTTAATACGCTAGATTGAAATGTCAGTTTGAACTGCAAGGTGTGTGGTTCAAACCTACCAGCTGCTCCCCAGAAACCTTATTCAGGGTCACTATGGGTTGAATTCAACTCAGTGCTACTTAACAACAACAATAACAATGGTTGCATAGTTTGATTTGGAGCCCTGGTGTGGTGCTGTAGAATAAGCACTGGACTGGTAAGCTGTCAAACCCACCAGCTTCTCCTTTGAAATCCTATACAGGGCTGCTGTGAGTCGGAACCAATTTGCAGGCATATAACAACAACAACATGGTTGTGTTACCTATTTAACAGTCACTTTTACCTATCATTTCCTTACCTCTATTTTAGCTTATTAAATGCTTCTAAAGGTATATTTCTTACCAGATATTGATTGAGTGGCTTACAGGACTAATATGTGACCCTACCTCAAAGGCTTAGATCAGTCTCCTCAGGATACCTTCAAAAAGGTCCAATCAAAGCAGTGCCTCAAGTCATTCTCCTGGGCCAATTAAATTCAAGGCAGAAAGTTAAGCCCAAAAGGTAACAACTGTGTGTTTTTTATTCCAAAGGGATAATCTTGATAGCCTACTGTAACAACACAGGATGATCACAGAGGCTATTATGAAAAAGTTTACAGAAAATTAAAACCTGCTTTGGTGAGGAAAATGGCCAGGAAAGTTGTACCTTGAAATTGTTTCCGATTACAACAGTGCACCTGCTCATTCTTTAAGAGGAGCAGTGGTTGTCTTGTAAGAATGTTGTGGGAACCCGTACCCTGTGCATCCTATAACGCTGATGTTGCCCCTTCAACATCATTTGTTCCCAAAACATATGACAGAAACATAATTTGAGTCCACTGATGCCAACATTGCCATTTTGACATGTAAAAGAGTGCACAATTCTTCTATAAAGAGTTCGAGAGATGGAAACACTGTCCTCAGACTGTCCTCAGACTAATAGCTTGGCATTTCAATATTTTTATTTAATAAACATTCCTATGATTCGGTAGGAATACTTTTTGACTTACCCTAGTAAAGGTGGAATAAGTATGGTGAAAGAATACAAGTCTGACACACAGCTCTCCAGATTTTAAGCCATGCAGTAGCCCCTTGTTTGGTTGCAACAGCTGCCTCTTGGTTTATGTGCAGATTCTGCACAAGAAGTTAAGTATTCAACAATCCTCACTTTTTTGTGTGTGATGTTATACTGCAGTGTTAACAGCCTGATGCCTAACCCACAGCGCCACCAGAGCTAGATTCAATTCCTAGATTTCCCAGTTCCATAAATAAATGACTTCCCTTTTTATTTGAGAACTTTTTATCTTGAAGTAATTATAAATTCACAGGAAGTTACAAAGATAGTACAGAGAGGTTGCATATTCACAGGAATTTTAATGATAGTACAGAAAGATTTCATGTTTCTTTTGCCCCACTTTCTTTAATGATTACACCTTGCATAGTATCAAAACCAGGAAACTGACAATGGTACAATGTATGTGTATGTTGTTGTTGTTAAGTGCCGTTGAGTTGACTCCAACCCACAGCGACCCTGTATAGAGTTACCAAGGAGCAGCTCGTAAGCTTGAGTCACCAACCTTGCAGTTCAAACAACTTTGCAGTCTCACACATTAGCCCATAGCACCACACCAGGACTCTAATGTGTGTGTATAGCTTTATATAATTTCATCATATGTAAATTCATAGACTCACCACTGCTATGAAGATACACAGTAATTCCATCTCTATAAGCTACCTCTTTACAATCATGTCCACTTCTCTGCCACATCCTTTACCCTTGGCAACTAATGTATTTTCAATTTCTATAATTTTGTCATTTTGAAAATGTTGTATGAGTGGAATTGATGATATGTGTCTTTTTGAGGACTTTTTTTACACAGTTTAATGTCCTTTAGCTCTGTCTACATTGTTGCATGTATCAGTAATTGGGCCGCTCTTTTTTATTGCTGAGTAGTATCCATGGTACATTTTGTTATTGTTATTGTAAAGTGCTGTCGAGTCAGTTCTGACCTGTAGCAATCCTGTATAGGATTTCCGAGGAGCAGCTGATGAGCTTGAACTGCTGACCTTGGCAGTTCAAACAGCTTTGCAGTCTGGCTCATTAACCCACAGCACCACACCAGGACTACATCCATGGCCTGGATATACCATAATTTGTTTAACCATTCTAAAGGGACATTTTGGTCATTTCTACTTTTTGTGTATTAGAAATAAACAATTGTGCATAGACTTCTATATTTTTCATCACCTGCAACTGAAAGAATTTTGAATACAAACATAAAAATGCCAAAAGGATGTAAGGAAGAAAACATTCTTTCCAACTATACATACTCCTCCTTCACTCAAGAAAACAGGAGTTTGATCCAGCACTTTATCACTTTGAGAAAAAAGCATGAAGCTTCTGCTTTTCTCACTACTTTTTTTTTTTTCTCTCCAAAGAGAACTGGTATATCTAAACCTGAATAGTAAAATCCCAACATTGCTCTGTTGGGCTAGCGTAAAGTATAGATGATTACTACTGTACTTCGTGTGTAGCCTGAACTTTTGCTACATTTGCTTGAGCCTCTGACTGCCTTCTAATGGCCTGTGTTCTCTCATTTTCTATTTCTGTCCAATGAGTCAGTGTCAAGACATAAGTCAGGAGATGCATTAGCCTTAACATTCCCACTTTTCTAATCTGTGATCAAAGGCCCATAGTCAGTCATGTTTCTTCAGGGTGCTGGCTAGGTAGCAATTCTGAGTCATGGTGTGACACTGTAGGATAAGCACTAGACTGATCACCACAAGGTCAGTAGTTCAAATCCACCAGCCACTCCTCAGAAACCCTAAACAGAATCTCTATGAGTGGATTGCCTTGATGGAACTTAACAACACAAACTTGCGTTAGTACCCACCACTGAGATCTATGTCTGTTTCTCAGTTGGTATTGGACCAAAAAAGAGATATAAGGAACTAGTTTATCTGAAACTTAAATGCTTATGTATACACACAACTTATGGAAGATATTGCCATAATTTACTATACCATATCTGAACAAGATTTCGTTTGAAGCAGTAAAGATAAGACATCAGTTTGAAAAGAGCCCCTTTTGGAGCAACGTGAAGTTTGCTAAAATTGAAGTAAAAACAAACACCAAATTTATGGTGATGCTTGGGTGGAAGAATGGTGAAATGATTGATGATTTACAACAAGTTTATGGGGATCACGCCACAAGTAAGAATAATCAATTGTTTGAAGAAGAGACAAGCTGATGTTGTAGTAACTTACAGACCAAACACATGAATTTGTTAGGAAGCAATCTTGTTAGTCATGCCCTAGTTGAAGAGGACCAAAAATTAGCTGCAGAAATAGTAACCAATACCATAGACATCTCTGTTAGTTCCACTCACACAATTCTGACTTAAAAATTAAAGTTAAGCAGACTTTTCCCTGAATAGATATCAAAACTATTGAGCCCAGTTCAGTTGCAGACAAAACTAGAGACTCCAAATGAAGTTTTACATAAGTAGGATCAAGATCCTGAAACATTGCTTAGAAGGAAGTGAAACATGGCCTTACCAGTAAGATCAT